GTATCACCAAAGTTAATATCTACTGCTGAATATCAGATACTTCCTTTATCGTTACATTGTATATAACAGGTCCTTTCGGCAACAAATCGTCAACAAAATTTGTATGCTAATTAGTCGTAGTAATTTTGTATATTTAGGCGTAATACACGAGTGTGTACGACATAAATGATAATATATTATATTTATTTTTCTTATTCCTTTGCTACTCTTAACTACACATATTGCTTATTTTTCTATAAGCAATTTTTTGTAATTAACAAAGGTATCAGAGGAAGTGCATACTAGGACACAAAAAAAAACAGCTAAAAAAACGTTCAAAAGATTGCTTGAAATCAATAAAAGAAAGGAACATGACTAGAAAAGACATGCTACAAAATCAAAATCAAAATACAAACTACATCACCACTGACGGTATAAATGAACCCTCCTCTATTTCCATCACTAGTAATGCATTGATTAGTGATCAGTGTAGTTGTGTGTGGGGGCTTGGGAGACTGAGACCTCGGAAGCCCCGAAGAAGACATCAAAGATTGTGAATCGAAGACATTGCATCGGTGCAATAATAATTGATGCGGTTCAAACCGAAATACTGTTAAGTTGATGACACCAGAAGAGGAATGGCGAGAGTGTGACGAATAAGAAGGATACAGAAAAACAAAGATAATCTCATTCCAAAGACGTTAGAGCGGTTCTACAATATAAATAATTATTCAAAAGTATATACTGGACATAGACGTTAATGATACACAATTTGCTTTTTTTTCATTTAGTCTTTAGTCTTCATTTGTATGCTTTATTGACTTTAATAAAGAACGCGATAAAGTACGACAATTAATGAATGTCCTTATATCAAAGAAGATTGACTACAACGACCTCAGGATCATATCAAATTTATACTATAAACAGCGAGCAAAAGTAGGGATGCGTATTGTCGCCAATTCATTTTAATGCCTACTCCGAAGAGATCCTGAAAAATTCTCTTGAGGGTGAAACAGCTGAAATAAAGTAAATCGAGTTCCCATTAACAACATTAGATATGCGGATGACACTGTGGTCTTAATCGAAAATATTGAAGATCTTCAGAGACTGGTGATCAGAATAGCGGAGTATGGAAAGAGTACGGTCTAACAATGAATGTCAAGAAGAGGAAATTTATGAGGATATCGAAAACTCAAAAAAAAATAACGAGAATCTTCTAATAAACAGAACCAACGTCGAATAAGTGATAAAATTTCTAGAAACAATGATTAACTCCACAACTAATTACATTCAAGAGATCAAAATCAGAATAGGAGCAAATTTTAACAAAATGAGAAAAGTGCTATGTACAAGGGATTTAAAATTGGAACTAAGAGTTAGGTTGGCAAGCTGCTATGTTTTTTCGCTTTGTTTTATAGAGTGGAATCTTGGACCTTAAATACGACATCAATAAAAAACTGGCATCATTCGAGCTGTGGGTGTATAGAGGAATTATGAAAATATCCTGGACAGAACACGTCACAAACACAAAGGTTCTGAGAAGGATGAATAAAGAAATAGAAATTTTAAATACAATTAAAACAAGAAAATTGGAATATCTCGGACATATTACACGTGGAGAGAAATAAACCTTGCTCCAACTGATTATGCAGGGAAAGATCAAAGGAAAGAGAAGCATAAGGCGGCGTAGAATGTCATGGCTGCACAATCTGAGAGTGATACGGATGTACAACAAATAAACTTTTCAGAACAACCGTCTTAGAAGTCCGAATAGCTATGATAATTGCCGACCTCCACTGCGAAAATGGCACTTGAAGAAGAAGAAGTAGCATTACTGGGAGAATGCCTTTGTAACCGAAACGCTCACGAAGTGTGGCTTGAATTATTTTGAGAGGTTGGTGTTGGTATTTGTAACTAATAGATAATGATCCTGGAAGACATCTGCACCTGTATATGTTTTTACAAAGAAGACAACAAATACATAAAAATATTTTATTATAATAACAATAACGTTTCGAGTACATTTATATTAAATATTCTAAATAAGTTACTTATATAAATTAAAGATACAATAATAAACTTTAAGAAAATCGTCATAGGATTATGTTACGAAGACAGTTATTCACGGTAAAAGTTTTATAAGGGACTGCTATAAAGATAATCAAATTTGTTCTGTGTAAATCAGTAAAATTGATTTATCTCACCAAATAAAAGGAAGATATCGAGCACAATTTATTTATTAAATATTGCCCACGTACTTTTGGTCTCACAGCATCTTCAGGGCCATTTCGTCCAAAACGATATATATTATGTATTATTTAGTGTTTATGACATTCACAAAATTGTTGGATAGCCTTTAATTTTGACGAAATGTTCCTCTAATTTAGACGAAAATAAAGATGCTCTAGGAGCGAAAGTACTTGGGCAAGATTTATTAAAAACCTGTGCTCGATATCTGCCTTTCATTTGATTGAAGTACATTTATTCGAGCATTCAACCATATATTACTAAATTGATTTATGCCATTGAAAATTTAGATATTATATTCATTTTTGAATCAAGTAATTACATAAATAGCAAAAAATATAAACAGTCCTGACATTGGGACATCTAAGCGAAACTAAATTATAATCTTCATAAACAGTATTCTCCATTGAAAGAGTGAGTAAATTTAAATACCTGGGATCGTGGCTTTTTGAAGACTGGGCATCGGACAGCGAAGTAAAATGTCGCATTGAGCAAGCTCGACAAGCTTTCGTAAAATTCAAGAAGGTACTGACTTGTTCAAATTTCGATCTTCAACTGAGACTAAGGTTTACTAAGTGATACATATGGTCAGTGCTGCTATATGGCGTAGAGGGCTGGACACTCAAAACGAGGGATATAAACAGATTAGAAGCTTTCGAAGTGTGGCTTTATCGCCGTATCCTAAAAATACCATGGACAGCGAATATCACAAATATAGATGTCCTTAAAAGAATAAACCAAGAACGCCAACTTTTCGAAACCATCAAGAAAAGGAAAACGGCGTATCTAGGTCACATCATGCGAAATGAAAAATACCAGTTCCTCCAACTTATAATCGAGGGTAAAATTAAAGGCAAGAGAGGAATGGGACGCAAGAAAATGTCCTGGCTCCGAAACATAAGGCAATGGACAGAGATTAACGACATACAATCTCTGATACATATTGCAAGAAATAGAGAATTAATGGAAAATGTGATCGCTAACATCCATTAGTGGATTTGCATCTGAAGAAGAAGAAGAAACAATATTCAACAAAATAAGTTAACAAGCGCACATTTTAGTTGTATGCATGTGTTAATAAAATAAAAGAGCCAAGTAGTATTGTGTGACAGAAAATATTATTGAAAGTTAAAGACAAGTTGTATAAGAGCAATGATAAGAGATCTGGCAAGGGACAACAATTACACAGACCATAATTGTGAGGAAGACTGATGTAGACTAAATACAAAAAAAAATCAACAAGTCTATCGAAAATATATAGACAGCAAGTCAAATTGAATCGCAGATAAAGGACGAGCTTACTCAACTATTACCGGATGAAAATGGAATCCTTTAGAGACCAATTAAGCCCTCTTCTATTCAGACTCTTTATTGACGAAATACTTAATAAGAAAATTGTGTAATTCAAAAGAATATAAAAGGGCACAACAAGATTAAAATTGTATGAGGATTTCGTGCTAGTAGCAAACAACAAACATGATCTGCATTTTGCTTCAATGTTTACAACAATTAGTAAACAATGGGAAATGTGTAAAAATTATATTAAATACGCAACAAATAACAATCTGGGACCGCAAAGACCACCACCACGCAACGAGTGGTTCAATACTAAGTGCCAGAACATTACAAGAAGAAAGAACAATGCATATAACATGATGCAGCAAAGAAGAACCCGAGAAAAAGAACAAAAATATAAAGATCTCAGAAGAGAAAAGAAGTACGTCCATCAAAGGAAAAAGTGAACTTACGAAAATAGCATATTGGAAGAACTTGAGGCATTAAACAAGCAAAATCAAACAAGGAAATTCTATAAAAATCTAAATAATGCAAGAAAAGCATTTAACCCAAGGATCGGACTATGTAAGGATAAGGAGCATATACTAAATATAAAGGAAGAAGTATTGAAAGGGTGGTGGAACACTAAAAAGAACTACTTACTATCGAAGTAGAAGATCCAAATTAACCACCCCCAGGAGCAAGCAATAATACACAATTGGAGCCTCCTTTAATTCAAGAAGTACGGGATAGAAACTTTAGGGAATAACCCTCCTTAATACAGCATACAAAATATTTTCGAGTATTTTGTATGATCGTCTGTGTGCATATTCAGAGGAGCTTCTTAGCGAATATCAAAGTGGTTTTAGGCTTGGTCGATCAACAACAGACCAGATTTTTCTGGCGTGTCTCCTTTTCAGCATAGCTCTAGAAAAGGTGGTCAGGGGTACCCAAATAGACAACAGAGGAAACATTTTAAATAAATCATTCCAAATTTTGGCATATGCAGATGATGTTGACCTAGTGGCCCGCACAACACGCAAGCTAGTAGAAATGTATACCACTTTGTCAAATGCCTAAAAAAATATGGGCCTGCAAGTAAATGAGGAGAAAACTAAGATAATGGCATCGACACCCAACAATAGAGCCAGAACCATAGGCCACTAATTCACGGTTGATAACTCTACCTTGGAAGTGGTGTACAAATTCACATACTTAGGCTCCCTGATCACCAAGGAATACGTCATGACATAAGAAATCAAGCGAAGATTAATCCTAGCAAACAAATGCTATTTTACATTAAGTAGACATATGAGAAGCAGAAAATTTATATATTTGGTGGTAAAGACATAGTATCTCTTATAAACATAGGAAGACTAAGATGAGTAACATCAGAAATAAATTTCAAACCATGGCTTATTGACCCAGAAACTATTTTGTTGTATTTTTTGACATGTAATAAAGAATACCTTAACCTAAACACACTAAACACCATAACTTCAGTCTGGCTTCGTTTTTCGCATTAGGCGTAAAACCCACCTGGGAACTTTATTCGCTAGTCTTTCTGGAATTTGCCTACATTTATCTTGAAACTGTATACATTTGTCTTGGAACTGTCTAAATTGCACCTGCAACTGTCTATATGCCAGTACCAATAAAACAGGTATAGCAAATAGTTCATTACTAAAAAGGTAGAACCAACATGCTACCGAAAACATGGCCAAATCCGTTAGATAGTCAACGAAATGGTGCACCTTGACTTCTGCCTCTGCGAGTAGTTCCTCCTGCCTTTGATTTCGTAAAAATTCCGGATAATTTTCATCCATCGATCCCAGTCCTTCAGAAGTCTGTGTCATAATTTCTTTTAACTTCGGTGGTCTTATTCTCATCGGAGACGGGTCCGTCTTTCTAACACTGCGCATTGGAGAAGGAGAAGTTTTCCTCTTATTTGGTATTTCAGATGTGTAATGGTCGTTTACTCTCATAGGAGATGGTGACGTCCTCCTATTTTTGGGATATGGAGAAGCAGCTTTTCGTTTTTCTTGTTTGCGAGCTGGTGATGCCGAAACTCTTCTGCTGGAATGTTCTATTGAAGAGGATGGATCTGGATAAGGAGTATCTTCTTGTTTATTGATAGTTGGAGAAAAAGGTCTAGGAGTTTGTTTTTCGCAATTTGGAGAAAATGGTCGATTATTTTGTTTTTCAGGCTTTGATGATATTCTATTGGCTTGAGTTGTAGGAGAAAACGGGCGATCTACTGTTTCATCTGATGTTGATGAAAACGGTCTATTAGAGTCTCTCGTTGGAGAAAATGATTGATTTACTTCTTTTTCGGGTGTTGACGAAATACGTCTATCAGGCTGTCTTGTGGGAGAAAATGGTCGATCCATTTGCTCCTTGGGCGTTGGGGAAAATGGTCTACTAATTGATTTTCCCGGTGTTGGAGAAACAATATTACTTTGTTGTTCCGATGCAGGTAATTTTGACTTGTGATCTACAGAATCTAGTTTATGAGCTAATCCTTCACGAGATGTAGTTTTATCTACTGTTGCATTATCTTTGTTAGCTACCAAAGCTGATTGGCTTGGAGAACTAAGATATCCACTTTCCGCAGAAGAAGTTGAAGAGAAAGCGTTTCCCTGCTTATTAAGATTACTTTGGGGCTTCTATATGACGGATACGAATCATGATAGTTAGAAATGGGTATAGGATTTGACTTTTCATTACTGCTGTAAGTGGTCTTTACAGTTGGGGTTGTCTTAGATTCTGTTAAATTTTCTAAGCTTTTTTCCACCCGAGGTAAAGAGTCATTGCTTTTCTGCAAAGAATCTTGGCTTTTGTTAATTGAAGTATTAGATTTAGAGGATGCGTTAGACCTCCTTCTAGAGCCGTAATTTCTAACAATATCACTGTAGTGATCTACCACTACTTTAGCCTCTTCGGCATCTTTTTGTTTCTCTACAAGCCGATCGGGTATGACAATGCTTGCTGCTGTTATTCCAGAAATTGTAGCAGCCGCAGAAATAGTTTGCATTAAAAAAGACATTTTGGGCGGATTAAGATTGTATATGCTTTCTGGAGCTATTGTGGTACTTGGTTCATCAGAAGGAATAAGAGAAAATGATCTCTTTCTACCAATGATGGGTTTATCCTCTACAATAGGAAGAAGGTCAGCTTGTGGCAATAAAGAGAAAGATCTTTTTCTTGTATTGTTGGGCTTAACTTCTGAAACTGGAAGAAGTTCGTCTTGAGGTAATAAAGAAAATGACCTTTTTCTTTGAGTCGAGTTGTTTTCATCATCTTCATTGACGTCATCTACTGTAAGTGATATTGACCTAGGTCTAGAGCTGGTAGTTACTTCTTCGGGAATAGTTTTCTGCAATAAGGGAAGAGTGTGTGACTTATCCGCTAAACTAGCATGACGATCTTTTGGTTTTAAACTAGGAGGAATTGGTGAAAGAGATCTTTTTAACTTTGGAGAGCTTGTAGGAGAGGTTGATAGCGTTTCTTCTAGTTCCTTTTTCTTCAGAATCGGTTTGGGTACAAAATCTGGGCTAGGTGGTTGTTTCCTTTTGGTTAAAATTTCGAACGGTTCCTCTTTGGTAAACGACATGGATTTTAATTCTCTTGGATGATATGTCTCTTCTTCTTCGTCTGTTTCGTAAAAGGAAAATTTTTGATCACTTTTATGTATTTCATCATCGTCTTCTTCGAAAGAGGAATCTTCTGTACTTGAGACATAGTCATCTGCCCATTTCTCAACTTCTGCTATATTGATTTTGCGTTTTTCTGTGCTACTTTGTTTTTTCACTGACATTTTTGATCGTATTTCTTCGAACATCTGCTCTTCTATTTCTTCTGAATCGGACCGTTGCCTTTTCATCATCATTTCACGCTTTTCTTCAGGATTTAGGTTAGATTTGTCAATAGTTTCAATAATATTATCACCCTTCACATCATCATAACTCTTAAGACTATGTCTTCTAGTCCAAAGATGCTGTGTTGTTCCACCAGATAATCTTCTTTTTATTGAATTTACTCTTTCCAGTTCAAGTTTATCTTGCCAAGTTTATCATGCCGGTCCTTGGAATTTATTTGAATTTTTGGAATCTCTATATTCAGTCCTCTCATTTCGATAGATTTTCGCCTTCTTTCTAACTCTTGTTCTTCTGCTTTAGCTGCTTCGTATAATCGATTCATTGCTCTTTCATGCAATAACTCAGTGGAACTGGCAGATGTTTTAATTGGGTTGAACATGGGTGCTTCAATTCCAAGTTCTGGTGCTGACAACGACATTGGAGGTGGCATTGAATCTTCGAAGTCTAAATCTGATTGACCTAAAAAATAGTTATCATTTATTATTAATATGTTTTAAGATTTTACGGTGGAAAAACAAAATAGCAATAAGTAATTAAATAATTAAAAAAACACTTCCTAGAGACCTGTCAAGGCATTGTTTTATATATGACACAACAACATGGAGAAGAAGATATTATATAAATGTGTATACATCTACATGTATACCATTTACTAAGTATGAAAATAATTATAGAACGAGCAAATGAATACCACATTCCTCTATGTATGGCGTTCATAGATTTCGAAAAGGCTTTCGACAGAGTCGAACCTTGGGCAGTGAAAAGTTCTTTGATTAACAGCCGAATTGACCACAGATATACGGAACTATTAACCAATATATATATAAGGAAGCCTAAACAACAATTAAAATATATGAAGGAACAAAATCATTACAAATAAGTAGAGGCATGAGACAGGGTGATACAATATCACCGAAACTTTTCAATCAGGCTCTTGAAGATACTTTTAAAAGATTAGAATGGGAAAAAAAGGTATAAAAATTTGTGGACAACGCTTGAACCATCTAAGGTACGCTAATGACATCGTATTGATAACCGATAAAAAAGAAGAATTATTTGAAATGATGAAAGGACTGGACATAGAAGCTGGAAAGATAGGCTTTAATATGAATTACAGCAAGACCAAAACTATAACAAATACAGATGAAGATATCACAATGAGAATCGGGCAAGATGAAATAGAACAAGTTAAGGATTATATATATATATATATATATATAATATATATATATATATACATATATATATATATACATATATATATATATATATATATATATATATATATATATCTTGGTCAAACTATAAAACTTAACAAAGAGAACCAAACAGCAGAGATCAAGAGACGAGTTAGACTGGCATGGGCGGCATTTGGCAAACTAAGCTACATTCTTAAAAACAAAAGATATTCACAGCAGCTTAAGACCAAATTATATAATCAATGCGTACTCCCTGTTCTTACTTATGGTTCCCAAACGTGGACATCTACAAAAGCAAACATGGACAAAATCATAAAAACCCAAAGAGCAATGGAAAGACAAATGTTGCACATAAGACTCATGGATAAGAAGAGAAACGAGTGGATAAGAGAGAAAACAAAAGTGAGGGATGTTAGACAAGAAGTTGCAAAATTGAAATGGACATTTGCCGGACACAATATAAGACAAAAAGAAGACCGATGGAACAAAATTCTTATAAGTTGGAGACCGTGGGAATATAAACGAAACAGAGGAAGGCTCCAAATGAGATTGGCAGATGATATCAAGAAGTACGTGGGCTCTAGATGGATGACTGTAGCGACAGACAGAGAAGAATGGAAGAGGATTGGGGAGGCTTATATCCAAAGATGGACCGAAGAAGGCTAATTAGATAGATAGATTAGACATCTACATAGACAGTAGACAGTAGACATCTACATACAGAGATAAGTGATAAAAGATATAGGATATTCCAAGGAGCTGATACTTTATATTTTGGTAAATCATTTATTGGTTTAGATGAGTAGGCTGTATTTTAGTACAACCAAAAAATTTATGATCTAAATCATTTTTCTCCTTCACACTGCTCACATTTATCGTCATCCAAAACCTGTATTTTAATTAAGTAAGTGTTTTGGATAACATGCGTGCCCGATTCATACTCTAATAATGGAAGTTATATGCCTCTTAAAACCTTTTCAACACTTGTGCAAAGAAAATTTGAGAATATCTGGCTGAATTAACGAGTATCTATTTTGATTCACAAACGAGTATTCCTTCCACTGGTAGCTCTACTCTCAAAGCAATGTTGACTTGCAAAGATAAAACTATCAGAAAAAGATTCATTATAATTTCATAACACTCATAATATTAATACAAAACTAATAGAAAGAAATGGCAGAATTGAAGGAATACAATAACATACCAGCAAACGAATGGGAAAGATACCTGACGGAACTGTTTAAAGGAAAACAAAATAATAATCAACACAATAACACGTAAGAGAAATTAAGACACGTAATAGAAATCTAATAGAAATCAGTTTCAGAAAGTAGAGATAGCCATAAAGTCGATCAAAAATATAAAGTCACCAGGACCAGATGGAATAACCAATAAGTTTCTAAAACGCGCAGAAGAAACTAGAACCCTAGAGATGACAAAACTTAGATTGCACTACAACATACCAGACGCATGAAGAAACAGCATAATGAGACCAATGTTCAAGAAAGGCGATAAAGAAAACTCCAACAATTATAGAAATATAAATCTACCAAACACCGCACTTAAGCTTACCATAAAAATCCTAACCAACAAAACCAATAAACTAACAACTTTATCAGATGAAGAACAAGGATTCAGATCCGGAAGCTCCTGCATAGACGCCGTATTTGTACTAAGACAAATCACTGAAAGGGCCATTGGGGACAATAAACTAGCATATCTATGTTTTACAGACCTGAATTTATGAATTAGACCTATATTAACATACACGACAGAGACAAGACCTGACACATCTAAAACGAAACAAATACTAGAAACAACAGAGATGAAAATACTCCGACGAATATCAGGGAAAGGTCTGTTGGATAAGGAGAGAAGCGAAAACATAAGAAGAACAATCATACCTACGAATATGCCTCCACCTTTCCCTACCTAGGATCAATAATAAATGACAGCCACAGCGTCAGTCAAGAAATAAAAGCACAGATTCTTAGCGGTAATAAGTGCTTTTATGCATACAAAGACTTAGACTCTACAAAACAGTAATTAGACCAGTGGTTACATATGGGTGTAAAACGTGGACCCTTTCAACCACCGATGAAAATCAATTGAGAATATTTGTGCGGCAAATATTGAGAAAGGTATTTGGACCCACTGTTTGCAGCGATGGTTTGTAGGAAAAAAAAGGAATTATGAGATGGATAAATTAATGCATAGCGCAGATATCGTTAGATTTGTCACAAGGACTAATCTGACTAAAATGATCTTAAAACCATGAACATCAGGCAATGGCAAAGGAAAGTATCCAACAAGGCATAATGGAAGAACATTGTTAAGCAGGTCAAGACCCACAAAGGATTGTAGCCCTATTAAAATGAGAAGAAGAACGTTAGGCTCATCAAAAGTAACGTTCTTCTGTCCAATTTATTGGTAGAAGTAGAAAAATAGAAGTGATTTACATACATCAAATACAATTATTACCGAAACCCCAAAATACACAACCTGCACTATAGTAAAGAGTATTTAACACATGGCTAATGCTATTACATTACTTCATTAAGGCTATAGCGGAATGATTTCTACTGTTGGCTTAATGACAGACACATAATGATTTAACCGGCCGTGATACTGCGATCAGGCAGGCAAGGGGAAACCACCAGATTATATTCCCGTGACTACACCATCATGAATGTATCGAATCAGTTAGATATGTTTAGCGATCTGATTAGCGATCGGCGCTCAGTTGGTTCCGGGCCAACTAGTGTCAAATGGGCTACTGGGCATGTGTTTGTGAGCAACCCGCAACACATGCGAAATTGGCGCCTGGAAGAAAATCATATTTTCAGTTAAGAAAAGCAATGGGAATAGCAACCTGGAATATTCGAGGATTATTGCAACCAGGCAAACTGTATATACTACAAAGAGAAGTCGAAAGAGAGGATATATAAATTTACGGACTTTCGGAGACCCATTGGAATTGTTATAACCTTACTAGCATCACCAAACAAAATTCACATTCTTCAGGTCTATGTGCCAACCTCAGACGCATTAGACAATGAAGTGGGAGACATATACTCCGTTATTGAAGACAATAAAAAATATTCCATCTAAAGAACCACTCATAATCATGGGCGATTTTAACGCTAAGGTAGGAGAAACAAGAAATGATCCCAAAGAAGAAGAAGAAAAGAACATCCAAATGTAGGAAACTATGAGTTAGGTATTAGAAACAGCCGAGGCGAACGTTTAATAGATTTTGCGACCGGGAAACAGTTTGGACATTGTAAACACAATATTCAAACATCATGCCCATGGAGAATACAAGAACAAAATCGACTACATATTGATTAGAAACAGATGGACGACATGTTTTACAAACATAAAAACTAGACCAAGAACTAAAAATATCCCATGCAAACAAGGCTCTACTTCATGTAATACATGAAAGACTAAAAGCATTTCTATTACCTCAGAAATCAGAAGAACAAGCTGGATTTGTTCCAGCAAAAGGCACAATAGAACACATTCTTAATGTCAGATAATCGAAAAAAACTCGTGACTTCAATACCCCTATGATTATGTGTTTTGTGAATTACACAAAGGCCTTCGATAAAGTCAAATAGCAGCAGCTATGGTCCATACTAGCGGAAATGGGAACACCCCACCACTTAATTCAACTAATTAGAACTCTATATGAAAATAATAAGTGCACAGTAAAAATAAACAACACCCATTTCGATCATTTCAGAATAGAGGCAGGTGTCAGGCAGGGATGCATAATCTCGCCAACTCTGTTTAATATCTACAGCGAACGCAATATGCGAAAGGTACTAGATGGATGGAAGGGCGGAATATCAGTAGGAGGACAAAAATCAATAACTTGATATATGCTGATGATACTTTAATAATCGCGGTAAATCAAGAAGAAATGGAAGACATAATGAGATGTCTGGAGGAAAAAAGTAAAACATATGGACTAAAGCTAAATAGGAGTACGACAAAAATCATGATAGTAGACAGAGCTCGGAATAATCTTCAACATATTAATGAAATTGGGGATTTTGAAATAGTAAATAGTTTCATATACCTGGGGTCCCTAATAACAAATGACGGATGGTGTGACAGAGACATACGTAGAAGGTTGACTAATGCTAGAACAGCTATGATGAAACTGGTAGCAATTTGAAAAATGTTCGAGCATAACAATACACACAACATTAAGGCTGGTATGGGTGCTCATTTTTCCCATTAGCCACATATAGATCTCAAAACGTGGATAAGAAACACTTAAAGAAAGCGGATAAAAATAAACTGGATGCTTTTGAAATGTGGGTTTCAAAAGCATCCTGCATGTTGAGAATATCCTGGTTTAATGATCTCACTAACATATCGATATTAGAATAACTTAAAGTAAAGAACAGATTGCTTAAATAGATACAACAGAGATATTTGAAGTATTTTGAACACATTACTAAAAGGAGAGGTACGATGGCAACACTGATAGTCGAGGGTAGAGTTGAAGGAAAGAGACCTAAGGGAAGATGTTCAAGCCGTTGGGTAAATCAAACAAAAATATTAATTAACCAATGGTTACATGAAGCCAAACATTTAGCTCAGGATAGAGAAGGATGAATGGAAATCGTGAAAAAACTGTAAATACCTGATGGTGTCACTACATCCGATAAGGGATTAGGACTGAGGAGAAGGATTTAACAGTTTCTAATAGACTATGCTAACAATACGTTTAAAGGCATTCTCGCAATAGCCCATATACCTCAAAACATCTAGTGTGCTACTTCCTGACACTTAATTTGTGAGTTAAAATATCTTAATTAATATACTTAAGAAAATTTAAAACTTCGCCTGTGGTAGTGGTGTAACTGACTAGGTAGATTGACTAGCTCAGGAGCCTGCATTGCTATCAGTGCGGGTCTCAAGCTCGGACAAAGGTGCAGCACTCACAGGTGACACTAGTAACATACCTGTGGTAAAAATGGTGTTTATTTACATAAAGTGTGTGATTTTTTGTCCCACAGACAGTAGCATAAGGAGAAATAAGTATATAAACGAAGAGAACAAGCGCAATATGAAGAACAAACAAGAGCTAAAACGTCGTTTATAAAAAATTTAAAAAAAACTATAGAAATGAAAGTGGGAAAAACCATAAAAGGAATTTCTTTCAGAGATCGAATAAGGAATGTTGATACATTAAAAGAAACTGGAGTCCAGGATGTGATGAGATTGACGCAAACACGAACGTACATGGAAAGATCATATAAATATAATGGACTTAGGAAGAAAGCCAATACAAAAGACTACTAGAAAGACTCCCGAAGAGGTAGTATAATAGCTGGATGTCAGCATCACAAGAGCTGGGATAAGAAATGTAATTCGAAATTATACTAAAAACTTTAGGGTGGATGAAATTTTATTCTTGAAATAAAAAAAGGATAAAGAAATGATAAGGAACCTACAAAATAAATTTACATGCAAGTTCAGACATTTTTATTACTTACCCTTTTGATTTTCATCAGGATAAAGCACTAACATAAACTCCGAACTTCCTGTTAAGTTCTCGCTATTATCTCTTGATAATCTAGACTTTCGTAACTGTTTAGGACTTGGAGAGAGATTCTTGTCGTTTCGAGGCGGTTTCTCAATTTTAACTTTGTATACTTTATGATCACTAACTTTCTCTGGACTAGGACTGGGACTTCTGCTCGATCTACCAGAACTACTTGAAATATTAGATGACGCGGAGGTTAAATAGTTTGAAGTGGTCACTTCTTTTTTAATCTTAATATCAGGACTACCATAAGCCATATCCCGAGTTACTGTACTGTCGGCTCTAGAGAAAATTTCTTTATTAAGTTTTGCTTCCAGTTCTCTTTTATTGGCTACAGTATTTAAATCTCTTCTATGTGGTAAGGGGGAGGCCTCTGGCGTCTTTGTAGGACTTTTTATTTTTGTGCGCATAGGACGCACTGGCGGAGCATTTTGCTCTAAGGGAACTGTCGTGGGTATCATCTTCTGATCGTCTTCTACTCTAGTAGAAGATGTAGACCTCGGTTTATTTTTTCTCCTAGCAGCAGGTGTTACTGGCGTCTCAGGAATATCTCTTGGTTGACTTCTACTTCTTGGAGGTGGTTCTACAATACCTCTTTTTGTATCAGGAATAAATATAATCTCCGATTCTTCGCTAGGTTCGCTTATTCCATAAGGACTTTCAGCCTTTATACGAAATTTGTATTCACTGCCTTCTATCAGATCTCCCAACATCGTCGTAAGCTGTCTACTAGTGGCAGCTTTTAACCAAACATTCCAACCTAATCTATAATACTCTATAATGTAATTCCCTATTTTACAACCACCATCATCATTGGGTGTATTCCAAGATAGAGTTACTGATCTTCCCAAAGCCATTACTACTCTAGCTCGTCCCGGAGGAGAAGGTTTATTTGTTACAGTTACTAAGAAAGATTGTGTATGTTCTCCCAATTTGTTGACAGCTTTTACCAAATATTCACCTCTATCTTCTCGTTTAGCTTCGGTTATTTTCAAAATTGATGAACTATCGACATATTCGATTTCGTAGTTATCGTCGTTTTTAATCGATTCTCCGTTATGGCTCCAAAAAACCAATGGAGTCGGATGTCCCGCAACAGAAACTTTAAGTCGGATTAGTTCTCCCATTTCAAATAGCAAGCCATCTTCGTATTGCCTTGGGAGTCTAACTGTAGGAGGAGCTTCAACCACCAATTTACATTTGGTAGAAACATGACCTGCACGATTAGTAGCAGTGCACTTGATCTCACCTTCATCAGATAAGGAGCACTGATGTATGGTTAAAACGCTTCTGTCATTTTCAGTAAGGATTCGTATTCTTCGACTACTAAAAATTTCAAAGGCGTCTTTGTACCAACAAACTTTTGGAGGTGGTTGGCCAAGAAAATGGACTACAAACTCAGCTTTTTCGTTTTCTAAAGCATTAGTGTCCTGTAATTCCTGTGTGATTCGCGGTGCTGTTACGGCAGATCTTTGTAGCGTTACTGTTATAGGCTCCGATAGTTCACTAGGATCAGAAATACCTACGGCGTTCTCAGCACTAATTCTAAACTGATACCTCCAGCCTGGTTCAAGTCCACTAATGGTAAGCTCGTTGAGCTGTACGAGAAGAGGGGTGGCCCTAACCCAGTGTGGCGAACCAGTTCGTCGATGTTCGACCAAGTAACCGGAAATTGGAGATCCTCCATCGCTAGGTGGTTTGGTCCATCGTATGGTGACTAAATCGGGAGTTTGTTCTGCCTCAGCAACCAGAAATGGTTTTCCAGGAGCATGAGGACGAGCTGCAATAAATAAAAAAGAGTTTTTAGTTAAAAATCAATAAAAAAACTTTATATTTACGGAAAAAAAGATACTGAACATAGTGGATTACATGACGTATTCATTTGTGAATTAACAATTTTGTGGGGTATTTGGTTATTTTTTGATCCCGTATTAAGTTTTAATTTTTTTATGACAATACATTTTTGATCACATCAAATTTTTTTGATAAAGTTCTTTTGACTTACTAATATGTGGCAAATGATTGTAAAGTCCAGTATGTAAAATTATTAAAATTAAAACAATTAAGGACACTTCATACCTTACATACCATGACAGATAACTCACTCGCACCAACAATAGTTTTCCAAAGAAATTTTGTAACTTTATTATACTTTTGATTACAAATGTACATATTTAATTACCAAATAATCACTTAAGTTTGTTCTGTAATTTTGAATAAATTGAGTTAGTTTTAATAGAAAATGTATTTCAATTATTCATATTGGTACATTTAAATTTAATTATTTAATGATTGTTAAAAGTATGCCAAAAACTCATTGTCTCCAAGTCAGAGATGTACTGCTTTTAAGTCCCCCCTTTTTAAATTTAATGTCTGTTTTTTTCTTTCTAAGTATTTTCTGTGTGTCCTTAATTGTTTTAATTTTAATTATTTTACATACTAGACTTTACAATCATTTGTCATATATTTAATAGGTCAATAGAACTTTATCAAAGAAATTTGATAATTACAAGTAGAAGTAATTTACACACCCACACAATTGTACATCTAAATTTCATTCATTGTCATACAACTGTCACCATAAAACCTCAATAAATAACACACAGTTCATAAATATATCTCTTGAATAAATATAAATAACTTTTAAATAATTAAATAATATAGAACATCAGTCTCATCTAACAAACAATCACATTACACATATTTCTACTTCATTGGATAAAATCTATCTCCTCAAGAAATTTCCCTGTTTATTGTCAAACAATGACAATAGTAAAAACTGAAGTTCTTCATTCAGCAATACTGGATAGTTTGAACCATGTTCTTCCAACCATTAATTAATAGAGTACCGGCATGTAAGTAATGTTTTATTTATTTACTAATTTATTACAATTCAATAGACTATTTCATACCAATTTGTGGGTCTTACTTTGTCTGCTTAAACAGTTAATTTATTTTTTAAAAACCACAGACATATAATATTGGCATAATTACTGTAATTTATATCATCTACTTTATTTATCTTTATTAGACAACACCCTAATATGGGTTTTATTATTTCAGCATTTAATTAACTTTGTATCAAGACCTGAAGATGCTTTGAATATAGCAGAAAACGAAACGCCTAGTTAAATTAAACTGATTGTAAGTCTTATTTATTATTTCTTTTACCTATTTGAAATGGACTCACACAAGCAACACATTCATGAACTGAATTATAGCTATAGAAAATTTGTTTGAAAATTGTGCAACAAATGAGTAAAAAAATGAACTATAATCATAGTAAAAATAATACAAAATCAATCACTAACAGTTTGAAAAAGTATAAGAAGTCAAAGAAAAAGATCACTGATCCAATAACAGGGCATTTGAAGAACGAACAGGGATAATCTTATCAAAAAATAAAAAGAAGGTATATTTTTCAGCAGTTTGGTTCTTACTAAAATATAATATTTTGAAATATTTTAAAAAAATCTTTTAGTATATACAGGAAATACACATTTTATGTAATACTTGGATGTGATGCAAAAGAAATAAATGTTATGCCAATTTTTTGACGTCAAAAAGTTTTAGGTTAAGATGTGTTTTACGTTAATCGGGTCGATTAAATAGTCGCACCCACAAAATTCGGAATATTTTTGTGTATGTGATTTCGGAAATAGTTCACACTGTCATTAAAGTGTAAAAAGTAATTTATTTCTGGTAAAATTTAAGCAAGACTAACTTATAACATTTTGAGAAACTTTGTAACCTGTTACTTCTTTAATATTGTTCGTTGTGTGTTTGAACTTTTATTCTATTGTTTTGTTCTATGCTTTAAATTTTCCATCAAACTTCCTTTGGTACAAGTATTTTGTCTGTACAAGTATGGTACCATTCTCCTCACAGTACAAGTACTGTAAGCTGTCATTTTTTAGGCTTTGTATGTTGTAATTTTAGTAATAATGCATTGTTCTGTCTTCAATTTTATTTGATCAATATTAATACTGATGATTAACATTATTTCTTGTTTTTGCTTGTTTTTCTATTCTATAACTCCTATCTTCTTAATGTTTGTAATTATCTGTTTCTTCTTCTTCTTTAAGTGCCGTCTCCCAATCGAAGGTTGGATATCATCATCATTATCTTTACTTTATCTACTGCTGCTATAAAGAGTTCTATAGACCTGCATTTAAACCAGCTCCTTAAATCTTTCAACAGTGACACTCTCCTTCTTCCTATACTCCTTCCTCCTCTTAGCTTTCCCTGTATTATCAGCCTTAGCAGTTCATTTCTCTGTCCCCTCATTACGTGTGCCAGATATTGTAACTTTGGTATTTTTATTGTGTTTATTATTTCGCATTCTTTGCCCATTTCTCGCAGTACTTCCTTGTTAGTTTTCTTCTATGTGCATGCTATGCTAAGCATCCTCCTGTAATACCACATTTCAAAGGACTGTAACTTATTTATGTGTTCTTACTTTAATGCCCAGCTTTCAAGTCCATATTGCAGTATCGAAAACACGTAGCATTTCAGTGCTCTTACTCTCAGTTCTAATCTAAGATCTTGATTGCAGAGAATTGTTTTCATTTTTACAAACGCATTTCTTGCTATTTCTATCTTAGCTCTTATTTCGATTGTTTGATCATTATTGTCTGAAATCCAGGTTCCTAGGTATTTGTGTTTATTAACCCGGTATATTTCTATCGGTACATTTCCCAAATGTATGTTTGTTGGTATATTTGTTTTCTTTGTTATTATCATGTATTTGGTCTTTTTATATTCATTTTTAGTCCATATTTTTCACAATAAATGTTTGTTTTGTTAAGCAGTAATTAGAGTTGTTCAGCAAAGCTTGTCATAATCATGGTGTCATCTGCATATCTTATGTTGTTAATAGATCCTCCGTTAATTATTATTCCTTCACTGTGAAATAGTAAAGTTTCTTTAAAAATTGCTTCATTATATACAATAAATAGTAATGGAAACATAATGCATTCCTGCCTAACTCCTCTCCTGATTTCAATTTCTGGACTGGGTTCGTTATCTATTACGATTTGTGTTCTTTGATTCCAGTAGAGGTTGTTTATTGTTATTATTCGTATGTCCCTATAGTCTATGTTTTTTGTCTTTAGAATTTAGACTAACTTTTCATGTCTTACTTTGTCAAATGCTTTTCAAAATCAACGTAACGAACATGCACATCAATATTCATATCGCATCTTTGAGCTAACAAATTAAAAGCAAATAACGCTTCTCTTGTTCCTAGTCCGTTTCTGAACCCAAACTGACTATCATTTCTTCTTCCAGTATTTATACAATCATGTATTATTTTCAGGAATATTTTGAGAATGTGACTTATTAGTGATATCGTTCTGTAGTCACTGCAATATTTAGCGTTTCTGCTACATGTCCTGCCCACTGCAGGCGGTTTCGCTTAATTATAGTGGTAATATCTTTACCACCAAACATATGCTTGTAGATATTCTGCAGTTCAAAGTTGTATCTTCGCCTACATATTCCGTTCTCACACACCGCTCCGAATATCTTGCGTAGCATCTTTCTTTCAAAAATCGATACAGCGGATTCATCTGTTTTAGTTATCGTCCATACCTCTGATCCTGTAGCGTTTTATATTTAATGTCTAAATAATAATACAAATTCGATTCTATATTTATCATAGTACGCCCCTGGTATGCTAGAAATGTGTTGTCTGTAAAGATTTTTAAATCCGCAATAATTCTTCAATAAATAAAGACGTATTTGTTAAGGAAAACAATTTATGGCTTTTTAACTTTAACGTTCCCAGAAAAATATTGCAAGCCTGGTATTCTTTTTTCTAAAGCGTAATAACGTCGGAAGTTTGGACGAGTTTGAGTAAAGAATTTGTTGATTTGACAAGATAGCAATGCTTGTGCGGGGAAAAGAAAGGCGGTATCTATCCGGCAGGTTGAGATCGAGAAGGTCAAGAGAGGAGTGATGAAGAATTGCTCTAAGGGAAAGGTCGTTTAATTGTGATGTGGTAACCCGGCATTAATTCGCCAAAAATGGTAGAATTTTCACTCTATGTAATATGTCGTATTTGAAAGAGTGATCACTAACCACTGTTTTGATTTTGCTGAAGATTTATAATGTTTGAGAAGTGAACAAGTTTAGTTTCTACTTTCTTTTTTTGTTTTTTTTTTGAGAAATCCAGTTCCTTTCCAAGATGCCTCTTCACCTCACGTAGAATGATATTGGAGCAGTTTTGATTGGAAAAGATTGGAAAGTTTTCCGTTGATGATGATGATTAGCCAGTTGTTCAAAAGTTTAAGTTAACATGTGTGAACTGAGGTAACATTTACGTTATTAATTTTTAAAGTAAAAATAGACATTTTCTTTTAAAAAGACAAAATTTGCTTTCTTTTATAAATTATTTAAAAAAAAAAATTGTAATTAAAATAAATATTATGTTAGGGCATGGTTTAAACTGTCATCGGTCATAATTTTATCCTGTCTTAAAAATGCTTGTTTTGACGTATGACAGTTTGATTTTGAATCTGTTGTAAAAGATATTTTGATTTTATAGTAAAGATTAAATTTTATTTTTCACAAAAGGATATCCAGGATATTTTATTTCGGAGCATAAACGTCCGCCCTCTACACTGGGTTGGACGTTATTGCTTTCAGAATTTTCCTCTAGGATTACTGTTAATTAAGAGTGGTTGCAGAGCAGACTCCACAATAGAAAACCAATGGAATACCATAAGCAGTATCATACTTAACACAGCTAAAGAAGTCCTAGGAACAAAGACACAACGA